TGGGAGGGGAGGGGCGGGGGGAGGGGGCTCTAATAGCAAAAGCAGGTCAGTCCTTTGTTAACAGTCAACAAATCTATGTTTAACCCTCCTCTTGATGGTCAAAAGGGTATCAGACACTTACTCTTCGCACGTCAGTGGAAAGTACATTTCATCGTTCTTTCAATAAAGTGATAGAAATGGTAGGTCAGCGCTGAAACAAAAAAGTTCTGCACTCGGTCCATTAGACCATGTCATTCCCCCTCCATTGACACGTCTTAACCTTTGACCCTTGACCCCCAAATTCGACATCCCGAGTCCTTTTCGCGATCCCCCCACCCCTACGTCCCGAATATCAAGACCGTACGTCGAGCGGTTAAGATTTGTGCCCAACTGTTGACGAACGGACGGACGGACAATCATGCGATTCTACAAGCTGCATCCGACTTCGTCAGCTAGATTTGTAGGCAAAGTATATAGTGTGTATGTAGAAGATGCTCTGGATTATGTCCATTAGAACGAAAAAAGATACTAGTTGGATTAATGCCGACTATTATGGAAATGCAGATTTACGACGTAAACAGTACGTACCTAACACTTTTATTACGAACCTCTAAACCTGCGCCGAAAACTTATTTCCGCGTTATATTTCGTTGGCCGAATATTCACATAATAACTGTGTTTTCATTTTAATGCCAAGTCAGGTAAAATCGAGTTAATTGGTCCGTTAGTTACTTGAATTTTACAGCGATTTATTGCAACAATGTTACGAAGATTTTGTGGAATGACATATTGAATGTTGGGGGAACAAATTACATGTTATAACTGCCATACATCAAAATTAATTAAAGCATCAGGGCGATTTACACTTAGATGATATCATGCAATTGGCAAACACACAACACGCAATTACACAGAAAATAGATTCCATTCGAATTTAGCAGTAATGGGTACATATATATATATATACCATTACAAATATATTAAAATATAATATTACAATGTGCTATGGGAAGTATCATTGGGTTGAGCATTAATAGTATTAGAAGTGAATAAAACCATTAATTTCAGGAATGAATTTGGTTTTATTAACTCCTGATAGTATCCATAAAATTTCTTGAACTTTAGATTTCTAAAATGCTATAATAATAATAATAATAATATTCATCATTACATAATTTCACATAAACACATTATTACAAATATAATCAATAGTTTTCAGGAATGTTTAAAAGCTATTCATAAACATGAAACGTCCACTTAGTACTATCATTGTCATCCCATTGCCAGAAAACAAGCAAGAAAGCGAACGCAATGCATTTGTGCGTTCAAACAGAAAATTGGCAACGACAAAACATTGGTTTTCAATCAACACAAGGTAGACACATGTGCGAGAAGCAGAAAATATATATACATAGATTCATATGAATACAAGCCCACCTTTCAATGAATCTGCATGGGCCATACATATGAAAGTAAGTTTTATTCCACCAATAAATTTAACCGATTACCTTGGTCACAAAGCTGGAAAAATACTGCTTGCTGGCTTTGGAATATTTATAATCAATCAACTTGATTTGGACATTATTTATGATGCCCTGTAGGTGAATTCTCCAATGTACACACATAGAAGGGCTGAAAAATAAACCCAACTTAGATTAGTATGACAATACTACGAACTGAAGAAATCTAACCATGTCTTCACACGTTATAACTCAAAAGGCATCACTTACATTCAGTTGTGAGAACATGCTTTAGACTGTACAGTGTAAGACTAACAGTAGACTTACAACTGTAAGTGAACCTGGTCTATTTCCGTAGTTCTACTTCGGTTTTCTCTTTGGTTTCTTGTTCTTCTTGCCACAGATCTTCATGAGACTTTTCGACATGTAGTATGGTTTCTCTTCTGATCCATCATGCCTCTCGCAATCTTCAACTGGAAACATCAGAGTGGCATGTGTGGAAAACTACTGTCACTTTACACAAAATTATCTGAAAAAGGTTTTAAGAGATATTCTGAAATGAACATCAACGTGACAATGACAATGAAGCCATTTTTTCCTAGCACTTACCAAAGCAGAGGAAGAGCGTGTCCACAGCCATGCCATAAACACTAAAGAACCCGGATGATATGAGATAGGCTCCAATTGTAATTACCTGTCAGAAAAATATATAGCTCCATGAGAATTAAAACAGTCACGAAAATATGACCTTGGGAAAAAGAATGGAAGGCTGATACCTTGTAAGTTACGAATTAGCTCACTAGGCAAGTCAAACAGCTGCTTTATTTAACTGCTAGCCTTATGGCACTCACCAAAAGTATAGTATTAATAAGATATGGAGCTTACACCTGAATATTACAGCGACAACAGCAAAACACAACCACAACATGCATCCGATGTGAAATCAATAACACAATAAAGTAATGAACAGCTCATGAATGCAGCCCTGCAACCTTACTTACAATTACAGGAATAAAGTAGTAATTGAGGTTAGGCACTTGGTCCACTATAACATCTGGCATATAAGCGTTCAAACCACCAGTGAACAAGAAGAAAGAGAAAACCCCTGAAAAGTGTACAGTAGAGGTTAATAATGTTAGATAAACAAGAATTTTATTATATTTCAGATGTGTGCTCTACTGCCATTTCATGAAACACACACGAAAGTTATACAAACACCATGCAAGCATGCATATGTTGACTAGTCAAATAAAAAGCACACTGTCAATACAGTACATCATGAGCGTGCAAACTGAATTACACACAATTATATTATGTAGATAATTTAGAATCATGGTGCTCACTGCATTCACTAATGAGTTTACATAAAGACCAAGGTTTTGAGCATTTTCATAAAATTTACAACACTTGAGATGTGCAGCACAAGCATTATTTACGCTCATAGGGTCTATGTCACCCAGGGTACTGCCGGAACGTACCCTGGGTACGGTCCGGTATACCGGAACGTACCCTGGTAACTATCTGATATGGTTAGGGTTAGGGTTAGTGTTAGGGTTAAGGTTAGGGTTAGGGAGTAGGCATAGGCGACTCCCTAGACTCGTTAGTGGAGTAGGCGAGGTACAGTCTGGCATATTAGATAGTACCAGGGTACGTTCCGATATATCGAACCGTACCCAAGGTACCCTCCGATAGTACCCAGGGGGACATAGACCCTCTCAGCATTATTTACAGTGTGCAAGTGAAACATTAGGAAGGCTTTAGTTACCAAATGTAACCCTTAGAGAGGAACAAAAAGGTAATACTATACGACAAATTGTCTAGACAAGATTAAAATGCAGTAAACCCTGTAACTAACAGAGTAAATAAACGAGGCAGCCACATTGGCAGATCCAAGAATGAGCGAACAAGGGGCTGATCATGAAACCCACTAATGAGGGGTGTCTGGGAAGCATAAGTTCTGTCAGCAGGGCCAAGCTGTGAGTTTTCGTGTTTATAATAGCAATTTCGAGCCTGTGGTGAGCATTAAATTTGGTAAACAATATGTAAAATAGAGGTATGAAATATTCATAAATGACTAATTAGGTATTTTTCACATTTTCCGGCACCGATTCCTGCACAGCGTGCAACCCTAGTATGTGCCATTGGTTCTGCAGTATGATCAGCCATGCCCGTCTATCAATTAGCTTCGATTTCTGTTAGGTAGAGGTTTCACTGTATATCGTAGAACAGTTAGCAGTCAAGGATAGTCCCATTTCAGCACAGTGTCTGCATGCAGTGATAGTGATTAATAAACATTTATCAAGTGAAGGATTTTATCTGCATGCATTACTTACAATAACAGGGACCAGGTTGTATTTTAAACGTGGTTTCAATGGTTCAAAAATGTCAAAACCCGAGAGTATTCTGTTTGTGAACCAGAAAAATGACAGCAACCCTGGAAAGCAATGTGGTTCATGAAGAAAGAACTATATACCTTGTGAAATATCCATAATTATAATGTATAAACAGGAAAAAAGCTACTATGGTATTTATTTTAGTATAATGCAATCCCAAAGGATACTTAACCCCCAGCGATGACAACAAGGCATGTCAAGTCAGGCAGAATGTCAAGTGTTAAAATACTGGTGATTTATCCATAACCCATAACCCATTATACATATACATTTCAGAAAATATGTAAAAGGCATGCAAGTGTTACCTAATGCTCCAACGACCATGAGTTTTCCAATGAACAGTAAGAAGTCAGTAACGTTGTCCAGCACAAAGACTCGCACCACATTCCGCATGATCAAGAACAGAGCAGTACGAGCAGAGGTGCAGAAATTCTTGCCATATATAGCGATCTACGATTAAAGGAAACCCATTAACAATAAAAACAGTATTCTCACACAACGAATGCAGTTCAGAAAAAATAGTATTAACACACATAGATGAGGCTATATCTAGTCTCATCTATCTTTGGTAGCAACTATGAAAATTGCTATTCAATATTACATTGAGTTGAAATTCGGTTGGGAAAATGTGGAAGAGTGCACCTGGAAAATGACCATGCTGTACCAGCTACTGTGAAATATTCTAGAATACCTAGCCAATTGCACATTGTGGCTACACGCCTATTAATAACACCATGAACATGCACGCGCGCGCACACGCACACACACACACACTATACATATGTCGATGTCACTGACGGCTTTCAACAAAAAGTACCACCTTGAAAATAGTTTGCCACCAGAACTCAATAATGGCCATATTATAGCAGTTATCTTTCTACCGTATCACCACCCATCCCAGCAAGAGATAATCCAAATTCAACAACTAAATATTACACACCATATAAAACGTACCATGATGTAGGCATTCTTGTTGATGAATTTCAAGAACTTCTCCAGACACCAGAAACAGCATTTCAGGCACTTCATACAGAACTTTGCCAGCATGTTTTCAGATGCTTTCAGCTTGTAGTCAATGTACTCAAGAAATATCCGTATCAACTTCATTATGGCAATAAGAAGTGAGCCAAATGCAAGCGAACCCAAGTGATACCTGTGCGCAAGTTCACCGGAAGAAAACACGCATTAACTTTAAGTACAAACAAATCATAAAATTACATCAAAATAGCATATATTGTGTGAATCAGCTTGTTTAACATCATGACATTGTTTTTCTAATATGTGTAGCACCTCCAAGATTGCAATGCTAACTGAGCAGCACCCAATTTAATTACATTGATATAAATTGCATTTGAATGTCGCTAAATGAATTTCAGTGTATGCACATATGACTGTATGTGTATTCAAGTCTATTTAAAAACTTTCAAATGTAGTTTAATTAACCATAACAAAATTGAATTACAGCTCATTTCGCAGCATTCCCATAGCTATACAGGTAGAGCTATGTCAGACATTGATTTTCTATTCTAGAAACTTGACTAAGAATTAGCAAACCATGCCTCAGTGATCTCCAGAAGCTCTCTGTTACGGCAAACGTTGGGACGTCCTTTGGCTTGTTCCACGCCCAATAATAGGATGCAAAAGCTCCGGCCAATGTCATCTGGCCAAGAGCTATGACAAAATACATCATCCACAACCACATGAAGAGACTGGCAAGTTGAAACCAAAACAAGTTGTCGTTGTAGAAGTCACCTCCATAACCAATGAACATACACTTGGCACCTAAAAAATTGACATAAGCATACATGTGTCAATATATAAACCCACAGGCAATAGCATAACCAATGCGCACATTATCAAACACAGGTTTAAAAGATGTTTTAATTTACACTAATAATTAGGTGCAACATTCCTACACAGGTTTTATCACTACGTATCAAACTATATGCGTAAAACTATCACAATCCTTCACATATCGTCATATCAGCAAACTATACTACATACATAACATGTAACAGATAGTTACAATACAAGTGATTTAACGTTGCCACCAGCTCAATTCTGAACCAGTACAGTCTAGGAAATTACCTGTATCGCCATATTTCTCATTGAAGTCTGTTGAATTACAGAAGCTGCCATTCTTATAGTCACCACAGCAGTTCAGCTCCGCATTGACGACCATACTCTGTTGCTTTCCAGACGATGCCAGAAACACAGCAGTCGCCACCCCGAAGACAAACACACCCGCCTGTAACATGTTGTCACAATCATCACATGGTATTCCCATGATAGTGCTGTCAGGCAACCTAACATTGCTATCTTTAACAATTTAGCATCTTGTTTTTTTAATATACAAGTCTGATCGTTAGACATAATAAACAGTAGACGTAAATGACTGAAATATATACATATTGCAGGAAGTGTTCATATCCGGTGATACGTATGGCAATTAAAAGTGAATTACCTCCAATAAAAAGGTAATAAGTGGGAAAAACAGTGTAGAGTTCATATGGCCAACAGCTTTGCTTGCTTCACCAATCAGTTCAATAGCCAGCATAATTCGTGTGCGCAGGAAGAGGAGCACTAGCAGTAAGATGACGAGAAGAACTGAAATGATGATACCTGCAATAACGAAAAGATCATTATAGACTTACAATGCTCTATCTCGTTCACGGACGACCAAAATTTAATGGAACATTCTACTTGTTAAAATACTATACCGTTTATCTCGGTTTCACACAAACAATGTCATTGTACTCTCAATTTTAGCCAAATATCTTCGAGAGCTCCCAGATAGATTTTGCATGATAGATAGCTAGGAAAACGTAGTACCAAATGCCAGCCAGGTATCCTGGAGTGCAAGGTAGGCACTCAAATTAGTCGTGAATGCAATTTCAGTAAAGGATAAGTCAGAGTCTGGCACACCCTCCAGATCAGAATATGTCTTGAAGCAGTAATAGCATCCTGTGTAACACAGAAAATAACAGATTATTAATATCCATATTAAAATGATATTGATAAAATACAGTGAAATACATGATCTACGAATAACAAAACCAAACATAATTAACCATTTATAAGTAACCTTTAATGAGTAATTATCTACTCCTGCTTCTGCTGCTGGTGCTGCTGCTGCTGCTGCTACTGCTACTGCTGCTGCTACCGCTACCGCTACCACTACTTCTACTACTACTACTACTACTACTACTACTACTACTACTACTACTACTACTACTACTACTACTACTACTACTACTACTACTACTACTACTACTACTACACTACTACCTACAAGTAAGTAATATTGAGCAATATTTAGAAATTAAACAATCTGTGCAAACATATATATATCTATAAATATACTTTATAGAACTACAGAACTACGTTTTACTGGCGAGTTTTTCCCATTTTCTCAGACTATATTACCACAATTCACCAGTTATAAAAGTTGTATCAACGATAAAATTTAAATAGCTGATAACTTGGATTTTATGAACATGAAATTCACATGTGTATATATGTGAGAAAGGTAAAACAAGGGTGCAAAGGTAACACAAGCTCCTCGTGCTGCACCCTGGTAACTTGATTGTTGCAATCAAGGCTAAAAGTGTTACCAACTGGTTGGCGTAACCGTCACAGGTTGATGTTAGTAAGGGCACACAGTCGTAAAAATCTGCTTCAATAAACTGTGCAATAAACTGTGCAATGGCAGCAACCCGCTTAAAAGGAATGAAGTTCAGGATAGGGTCGCTAAATGTGAGCACCCTGAGAGGAAGAGCAAGTGAGGTGGTGGAGACGTTGTCTCGGAGGAAAGTTGACATCTGCTGTCTCCAGGAGACCAGATACCGTGGTGGTCAGTGTCGTATATTCAAAGGAAAGAACACTAAGTACAAGTGCTACTGGTCTGGTGATGATAAGGGGACTGGTGGTCGGTGTGTTGCTGGCGGAGGAATGGATTGGGAATGTGTTTGATGTGCGGCGTGTCTCGGACCGGATCATCCTGCTGAGGTTGGTCGTCGGCAGCTCTGTGCTGACGTTCCTGTCAGTCTACGCTCCACAAGTCGGCCTCAGCGATGTTGTGAAGGACCAGTTTTACGACCAGCTTCATGCAACGGTGGCTAAGGTCCCTGCATCTGAACTCCTTGTTCCTTGTGGAGACTGGAATGGTCATGTGGGAAGGGATGGAACTGGTTTCAGGAAGGTGCATGGAGGGTATGGGCTTGGCGTACGGAACGAGGAAGTAGAGAGAATCCTGGAGTTTGCAGTGGCCAATGATTTAGTCGTGGGAAACAAATGCTTCAAGAAGCGCGAGTGCCACCTCGTCACATATTAATCTGGTGGTATCTCCACACAGATCGATTACATTTTGTTCCGTTGTAATCTGCGCAAATTGATTGTCAATGTAAAAACCATCCCGGGTGAGGAGTGCACCACACAACATCGCCTGCTGGTGTGCGACATCAAGGTTGACATTACGTCACTGCCCAAGCGTAAATTTGTGCCTCGTCTTAAAATATAGAAGTTGAAGGACCCTGTGACCAGGCAGAAGTTCCGTGTGGCCTTTACACAACGGACTGTGGACGCAAATGCGGTTACCACTAAAGAGAAATGGGCGAATTTGAAGTCTGGCCTTCTGGGTGCTACTGAAGAAGTGTGTGGTCTATCCAAGAAGCATCAGTGGAGAAAACAGACGTGGTGGTGAAATGACCTCATTGTCAGTGTGGTAGAGGAGAAACGGCAGTGCTACAAAGCTTGGAAAAAAGGCATGGGCAGCAAAGCGGCGTATAATGCAGCTAAACGTGTATCCAGGCGTGCGGTATATCATGCAAAATCTGAGGCCGAGAAAACCGTCTTTGCAAACACCGACCCCAAGTCACCTGATATCTACCGTATCGCGAATCAGATGCGCCGTGAAAATCAGGATGTTGTGGGTGAAAAGCCGGTGCGAAATGATGTTGGGAAGTTGTCTTTGACTGATGTGGAGAAGGAGATGGCATGGTTACAGCACTATAAGAGACTGCTGAACGTTGAGTTCCCATGGAACCCTGACGACCTGTCTGTGGAAGACCCAGTGGAAGGCCCTGCACTACAAATTTCCACCGAGATGGTAAAAAAGGCCATTGACAAGATGCAATCTGGTAAGGCCGCAGGCCCGTGTGTTGTGGCTGAAATGTTTAATGCTGCCGGTGATGCGGGTGTTGCCCTCATTCGTGACCTAGCGGTATCAATCATACGCGATGGCAGGGTCCCTATGGATTGGGAAGAGAGCCTCATTGGTAACCTGCACAAAGGTAAGGGTGATGCTCTAGACAGGGATAATTATCGTGGGATAAAGCTGACTGAACAGGCCTTGAAGGTGCTGGAGAGAGTGGTAGACAATTCTATCCGGCAGCTGATATCGATTGATGAATCTCTGTTTGGCTTTATGCCGGGCAGGGGAACTTCAGATAGTATCTTTGTTGTCCGTTAACTGCAGGAGAAATACCTGGCCGCCAACAAGAAGCTTTACTTAGACTTTGTGGACCTGGAAAAGGCGTTCGACAGAGTCCCGAGACAAGTGCTGTGGTGGGCGATGAGGAAGCTTGGGACAGACGAGTGGATCATGAGGTTGGTGCAGGGCATGTACACCAACACTCGTAGTCGTGTGCGTGTCGGTGGTGGTTTCTCGGAGGAGTTTGAGGTAAAGGTGGGAGTCCATCAAGGGTCGGTGCTGAGCCCCCTCCTGTTCATCATGGTACTGGAGGCCCTTTCGCGGCAGTTCCGTGCTGGCGTCCCCTGGGAAGATCTCTACGCCGATGACTTGGTGATTATAGCAGATTCCTTGGAAGAATGCATGGCAAGGCTGGAAGTGTGGAAGGCTGGCATGGAGGAGAAGGACCTCAGAGTGAATATGGGCAAGACGAAGATCATGATTTGTGGTGCTGAACTTGACCTCTTGGAAGACTCCAGGAAGTACCCCTGCGTTGTGTGCAGGAAGGGAGTTGGGAGTAATTCTATTTGCTGTCACGGCTGTGCACACTGGGTATATAAGAAGTGTAGTGGCATAAAAGGCCGTCTCAATGACGACCCGGATTTCCGTTGCAAGCGGTGCATGGGCGATGCCCGCCCATTTGATGGCAGACCACTGTTGGAGGTGCAGATTGGGCAGGACAAACTGGAGGTAGTACCCTCCTTCTGCTACCTTGGTGATACACTCTCGGCGGGTGGTGGCTGTGAATTAGCCACTATCATTAGAGCAAAGACCGCCTGGGGGAAGTTTCGGAAGCTGCTTCCTGTCCTGACATCTCGACATCTGTCCCTCAGGACTCGTGGTCAAGTGTATGGCACCTGTGTCTGTAGCGCCATGCTGCACGGGAGCGAGACATGGGCAATGAAATCTGTTGACTTGCAACGCCTCCGGCGTAATGACAGGGCAATGATCAGATGGATCTGCAATGTCACAATCGAGGATTTGGCCCCTTCTAAACGAGCTGCTGGGCAGATGGGTATCTTGGACCTTGAGGTCATATACGTGAGAGAAAGACTCGCTGGTATGGCCATGTTCAGCGCTCCATCGGTGCCATCAAGACAGTGGGTCTGCAGTTCGAAGTGTTGGTGTAAGGAGACGTGGGAGGCCGAAGATGTCTTGGAAGAGGTTGTGAAAAGGATAGGGACAGTGGAATCTCTCCGCTGTAGACCCCTTGGATGCGTGTCACAGTGGAAGACAAGCGTGAGAGCTGCCAAAACTGGACCGAGCCAGATTCCTGGAGTGGGTTTCTACTGATGTGGATTTAAACCCTTGAGTCCAGTATAAAATAAAGAAACCGAAAACAACAACAACAACATATATAGCAACTGACCACCATGATATCAATACATATAGTAAGAAGTGCTTACCAAATCCTAACAGACCAACTAAGGAAATAAGGCTCAACCAGATAATGAGCCAAGCAATGCAGCGCATCAGTAAGATCCACAACCAAGAAATCACCATGGATATGAATATTGAACTGCAAAAAAATGTTATTAAATGTTTAGTAACATCAAGGATTGCAATACTTATAGTAAATTTAAACATACTCTATGACGCTGTGGCAAGCAAATGGATCCATGGGAAATATGACGTGTGATTTATTAATGCAAGAACTATCTATATATTAAAATGGATACCATCCAATATGAGAATGGTTGTGTATTATCTGTACTGTCGAGACATTGCTAATTTGCATTATGAATTGGATATGTAAAATGTACCTAGATGATATATATATATATATATATATATACTATATATATATATATACTATATATATATATAAGATCTTAACAATAATGACATAACAGCCTTCATTAATACATCAGGTATTGTGAACAATGCTCTGGACCCTATACATGAAATTATCAATTTGCATTCACAGTATAACTCTAGATCTGCAGTACGAATACTGCTTATAAAAATCTATCACATGTAATGAAATGTTTGTATCTACAAAATAACCAAAATAATTTCCTTCTGGGGATTTTACATTTATCAATTATATGCATTGTATATATTCATTATATTTGTAATCTAGCAGAATTGTATAAACTTACATCAGAATTATCCACCAAGATTCTACAAAGTCCTGAAAGACTTTTTGGCTAAATTCTTGCAAATTTAGAACTTCTGACATATATCTGAAAAAACAAACAAATAGAATTTCAATGTATTACACAACATTTTGGTGCTTGACTGATACATGTAATTCGGATAGCACAAATTTATATCAAGTTGATATGTGTACGCACGCACGCACGCAAACGCTGCTTTGCAAATATATAGGAATGCAGTTCTGAGCATAGTGCCAAAAGCTAGCTAATGCTTACTTGGTACCCTCGTAAATGAGGCCATAGGTGACATTTTCACCATCTTTATCAGTAGCCATCGATCCATCAATCTCTAAGATGACATCAACAGCTTCTTCAGCTAGAGCTGGGATACATCTATCAATGACTGAAATGAGGGTATAGTATATTATAGTATTATATTATATAAATTACCAAGTTACTAGCAGGACTTGATGACTACTAATTAGTATACTGCCACTTCTTTCAATCAGTATGTACGAGCTTCAACTTTACACTCAAGTGACTTTATATTCATCTTTGTGAGTGCGGGGAACAGTGGCGGACCCAGGGCGCACAGAGGGCAGTCGCCCCCCACCCCTAGAATTTTCAGGGCAAGGGATATTTAGCCTAACACTCTCCCCCCTTGGACGCTTCATGCCCTTGAGTTCGCACGATTCGCCCCACCCCCCTAGAATTCACTTCTGGATCCGCCACTGGGGAATGCTTTCATCATTTAATTAATATGAGAAGACTATTATTTCTGTGCCATAATAGTGCCCTGATCTCAGATGCTAAAATACTACTGTACCTCCAGACTCACTTCAGGAACTAGATAAAGGTTTGAGCAATATAGATGTATTCCGGGAGGCATGTCCTACGTAGTAATTACTTACACTCTGAACTTTCCACGTAGTAGGGTGCACAATCATCAGCTTTTACCATCTCCTCTATAGTCTAAAACGACAATTCATTTAAAGAATAAAATAGAAAATATGTTTGGCTAAGAAAATAAATATGGGTGTGTATCTATAGTATTAAACATCAGAGATATGAGAAATATTCACGCACATGATGTTTAGCAATTGCACTGCTACTTGTTGATCTAGTAGTCAATATCATTCAACATCATCATCAATTTATATATATTAAAATTTGATGGCAACAATTATGTTTTCATGGCTTTTTATTGCATGATACATGCATGATAACGAGCTTAAACAATTTTTTACATCATTTAACAAATTGAAGCGTGTTGTGTGCAATAGAACATGTCTCTATTTCCCACAACACTGTTCAACTTGTTGCCACATTTCATTGTATGACACATGGTACAACAAATGTGAAACAATGTTGGTAACAACGGTTGAGCTGCGGACCATGGGCTTTAGGGTAATTCAAAACACAAATGCCCACACGATCACACAAACAGATGTAAACAAGATTTGTCACACATGTATACCATATATAAATATATAATATATATAATATATATAATATATATATATATATATATATATATAATATATAAATACGCTAGTTTGGTTTATAGTAAGTATTAAAGGGTTCTTTATATTTGTAACTAAATGAGCAAAATACATAAAACAGTTCATATATCTAAAAAGGGCATTAATATACCAGAATCACGCATGGTCTACATTAAACCGAGATAATCACATTGTTTTCTTGTACACAGAGTATACAGCTACATGGGTGGAAAATTACATTTGATCCAAGAGTGGCCTATGGGCTCCCTTGTCTCAATAAGAGACAATCTGCAGTAAAATCAGGGAAAACAGCATCTGGAGTTCGAAACTAAGGATAAACAACGATGCAAGACCAAAATTGAAGTAACGCCCAGAATGAGTTACATGAATTTATAACACTCCGAGCATTACAGAGTTCAAAGTTATTTATGTGTAGTCATATACAGCACAATTTTAAGGAGTCAAATGGACCACCTGCTGATGCCAGCTCGCTGTGTCCACAAATAAAATGGAACGTTTTCATGTTAATTTTAGCTTAAGCCACGGACGTGCGAATAAATTTGCATGGTGTGTCCCCCGCTTAAAGCAGTTCACACAATATAATTATTTTACTTGTATATATATGCTTACCCGCTCATCAGTGATTGGATCTATGTGATATTTGCAAATACAGTCGCTTCTCTCGGCCAATGGATCGACGTAGGTAAAGTATGTTGTAGGGCATTTCTCGAGACAGACCTATTATAGATATGTGTATCAGTAAGAACCACAACCAAGCAATTGGATACAAATAATGAACTGCAAATTAAATGTTTAAAAAGATCAAGGATTGCCATAGTTATAGTAAATTTAAATACATATTCTATAATGTTGTGGCAAGCACATTGATCAACAGGAGAGATTATATGTTACTTATTAATGCAAGAACTATCTATATACTAACAAGTGCCGCGGAGCGACAGCGCTCATCTAACGTCTACTGCGGTGACTCTGTGGTGGAGTGGTGGGATTCTAGTAAACCCTGTTCGTCCCAAATGTGTTCACATACACGCCGAAACAGTGGAATGCACAGGGATGGTATCAGGAACCTTCTCAAAAGAATGTTCGTTGGGATCGTTATGAAAGTTGCCACGAGATGGCGCGTACGTTTAAGTGTCTTCAGATTAAAGATTGAAGCTCCCATCGTACGTAGTAGCAAAAACTATTTGCACGACAGAATAGGTAAGCACTCATCCATTTACCTATGCAAGCCTACAGGCTGCAATAGAGAGCTGCCACCTGTAACCAATTAACGCAGGCAAAAACTACACAGTACCACCACCACATGCACTGGCAGTGGCATACGTTACATGTAACATACTGACAGTACAGAATGCCATAGAAATTATACGATTTAAGGAGCATAAACCTTCTTCAACCAAATTTAGCTTTTGAAAGTTCTCTGTGACATTGTAGCCTCATACATCCAGGCATGTATAGT